GGCAAGACTTACTTCTCCTCCCAACTACTGCATTTCATACAACTATATCTCTTCTGCTCTCTCCATCCCTCCCATTCATTCTACTGCCTGTGTTTTTCTTACTCTCCTCCCTCTGTTCAGCCCACTAGCAAAGCAAGACATCAATCTTGTGCTGTCACAAAGTGTGTCAGGCTTTGACCCAGCTGGAGTGGAGCAGGAAAAAGGCCTTGCTAATATTGAGTTAGCTCATGCAGCATGTGCTGAAACTACACACACACATTCACTCACTCACTCACTCACTCTCTCTCTCTCTTGAGTCCTCAAAACTCATTTTGAATTGCCACTGTCTGACAGTTACATACATAGCCAACCAAACTAATACTGAATGTTTTTATGCAGGACATTACAGCCAAGGGCACTTACATATACTCTATACACTCCACCCCTATAATAAGAACAGAGCCTTCCCTCCCTCCCTCCCAAGGATAACATGAAATTAAAAAACTCCCTATTTCAAAGTATTGCAACATTTTACCTCAATATACGGTGTCAGAATATGAAAAATAATGATAACTTTGTTCAATTGTTCATGTTTTTAGAAAAAAATAGTTTTATCCACCTTTTTCTTCAACACGGAAGTAAGCCTATGGGTGAGACTTCCGGTTCATTAGCCGCTATAGGTAAATAACGAGGAGAATAACAACGTGCAGTAAACGGTAAAACTGTTTGCACTACAAACCAGTGTGTTCATAATTTCAGATAATACATTAAAATAATATGATAAGACACACCAACTTTCAATATCAAGCAGCAAAACAAACTGTTTTGCTCAGCTAAAAATAGCTGGACGCAGATGAAACCGGAAGCCATACCCATATATTTTCCAAATGGCCGCGCCCATTTTTACGACAAGAAAAAGGTGGATACTTTTGGGGAAAATGAGATTTAGGTTAATCAATACACTGGATTATTTCTATTTGACCAAAGTCTGAACTAGCTACGAATATAGCCATTTTCAATACAGATGAAAGAGAAATCAAATTAAATATCAATTTATAAATCACAGTTTTTACTATTCACTAAATATAAATGACCAGAAACAAAAAAAAAAATTATGTTACACTACCATGTACATTGCATTATATACAATTTTTGTGTAAAATGCTATAAAAATTGTGGTTTCTGAAAGTAAAAACTATGGATTACTAAATAATTCATGGTGAAAGAAAACCACAGTTGTTTTTTCTTAAAAAAAAATTTAAGCAGTCGCTTTTTTATTTTATTATTATTTTAAATTTTTTTGGTGTGTACCAATGAATCATGTAAAATATGACATATATTACAAAAATAGGTTCTCTGAGAAATTTAGGCAACCTGGTCTCATAAAAATACGTACTGTACCTCTGTGTACTTTTTGTGCAACATCGTTTTTACGTACCTTACTGCACGTTTCGCCGCAGTTTCAAAGAGAAATGTCCACTGAGTGGCGCTAAAACACGGGTTCAATATGTGAACCCTGGTATGTTTTTATTACGTTGATAGGTAAGTATTGCTGTGTTTTTATTATGTTGCTTCAGGTACGTATTGCGGCAGTTCAGAATTAAAATATCTGTGGACTGTCGCTAAAAGTTAATGCTCTATCGTGCTGGAAATATGCCCTACACCTAGGGCTGGGTATCGAGTTCGATACTTTTTAGGCACCGACCGAATTGCCGCGATACCATCGATTATCGAAAAACTTCTCGCCGTTCGGTACCAAATTTCGATACCTAAGGGGTAATCTCATCAACGTCAGTGAGCAAATAAGCTTGCAGCACTAGTGTTCGACTAGAAGTGGTGCGGCTCAGATCGATCAGTATTTTGACATCCGCAAGAGCGATTCGAACGTGTACGGAGCAGTCTGCTCTCTATAGCTCTTGTGGTACTGTAATACACCGATCAGTCTACACAGTCGGTCCGGGTCAAATCGAACACACCTACTACTGTAGTAAACACCGGTTTAGAGATTTGGCTCACACGTGAGGCTGTAGTGTGAATGCGTCCCAGCCCCCTTAGATGTAAGGCTATATTTACACTAGTATGTTTTTGTTTTCAAATGAAAACGATCCTCGTCATACCGGCGTTTCAGCTGCGTTTCAAGCTGGCTTTCCACTATCTCTGACAAACGACAGACCGGAAGTCATTAATTTCCCATGGAGAGTAGTGCGGGACTTGGGAGCTGCGTGGAGCTCCAATCATATGCAGAAGTCCATTCCTACTACACGTCCGAAAGCGCGTGTTACGTGACCATTCATGCACACATCATTCTACATAAGACGATAAATAAGATTTATATTCCGCTTTTACTCAAAACTCACTTTAAACCACCATCGAGTGTTTTAATAAGTTCTGATTGCCGTCTAATGTGTGTTTTGGCCATGTAATGTTGCTGAAATATGACTCAGAACAGCGATCGTGGAAGAGAGAACACAAGCAGACAGTGCTGGAAGCTGCTAATGCTCATCAGTAAATCAGTGGAAAATTAATAGAAATGATGAGTCTGTCTGAGCTATGCATTTTAAAACGAACACGCACTAGTGTAAATGTAGCCTATAACAGATGTATAAACTGAAGACTATTTGAGCTTTATTAAAACTATTTGCACTGATTTATTGTGTTGGTTACATTTTAATCCTTTGTGCAGTGGCTCAGGAGATGAGTCTTTGAGTCTGTATAAACATCAACAAGCTGTAAAATGAAACCAATATTTTTTTTTTTTAGATAATGCGATTTTGTTATAACTGATTTCATAAAATTGGTATCGAAAAAAGTATTGTTCAGGAACCGGTATCGAAGTCAAGGTATCGAAAAAATTACTACACCAACCCTAAACCTACCCGATAGTGTTAACAAATGCAAAACTGATATAAAAACGCACTTGTTGATGCAACCGTGCCATTTCAGCTTCCTAATACACAGATTTGAACTGTTTTGTCGAACCGTGGTTACACGGGATTCGAACCGGAGCTCCTCATCTCTCAAGTACTTCTCCGTACTCCGTGAGCTACCGAACAAACCTACCGTTGCTGAAAACCCATAGATATGAAGCTGGATATGTGCGGTGCTAACGTTCAGAAGCATCAGTTTTAAAATCTCCCAGCATATTAACACTGTAAAATAAGTCATAACATAATATTCTTCAAGTAATTGTGCAAAAATTACGCTTTATTAATCGAAACTCTGTAAATTTGTGTGAAAAGGAATAAAAGGTGTCGGAGTTTTACTGCCTCTAATGTTCATTTATTTTGGAAACTGCAGTGATATATATTTATTGGTACGTATTTCGCGTCTCGCTAAAAAGTGCCCCAGGTACGTTTATGCCATGACACTAGGTAGAATTTTTTTCTAGGCCTTATTTTTTTATTATGCTGAATGTTTAAAAACTGATTTTGTTTTTACACCAGTATCTTTAGAGCTAGTCCATCATTCTCTTTCCCTCTCCCTTTCTCTCTGTTTAGAAGTGCTCACCTTTCCAAGATGTCCAATCAAAGGGCCTTGCTGCCGGGGGGCCCGGCTTCTGTCTAAACACCCGCTGTCGCAGAGACGACCCTGCAACCTTTGGCATCATTTTGACAGACAGCCAGGTGACTGGTTTTAATATTAATATGTCCCCCATGCTGAGAGGAGATTCTATTTGTGTTCAGCTAAAAGAGAGCAGATGCTTTTTAAAAGTCAGGCTGCAGCCTTCAGTCCTTCACTGTCTCCTCAGGATGAACCGAAAAAACATAAGCAAGTATGAAAAAGAACTAAAGAAAAGTGTGCTCCTCACAGCTGTCAATTTATCATTCTCTCTCCCTCAAAAATTGACTTTCACTTTTACAGCATCTCATCCTGGTCCTGCCTTACTTCATTCTATCTCTCGACCCCGTCATCCTTCCTTTTTCCTCTTCGCTATTATTTAAATTCTCAGTTCTCTCACTTTTTCTGATACCTCTCTCCAAGTGCTGGACAGGTGTCAGGCCATTCACACTCTCTGCACAAAAAGGGTCCTACTGCACACTCACACTCAACTGCAAAGGTCACGGTAAAGTGCAAATAAAATACCAATCCTGCATTATTCAAAGGACACCTTAGCACTGATAGAAAAGGAGAAAATGATTTAAAGAGAAACAAATCTATAGTCTTAGCCTTATTAACTGGGAACACTGTCTTGCTCAGAACTCCAAAAGAGCTGTGGGACACCGTCACACTGATATAAAAGACAAAACTACTAACCAACACTGGAGGACTATACAATTCACCTCAACTTTTGAATGGTTGTGTCTCACAAACAAGTCAACTGCCTAGCTAGACAGCATGAACGGCATTATTAAAGTGTTCGCATGCAATCAACAGAAACAGGAACACATGCATTCAAAATCTGGTTCTCAAAAGTGTTTTTTAATAATAATAATAATAATTCCTTATGAGTTACAAGTATAGCTAACTGATTTGTTCACCTCACCAGCCTCACGACAGCCACAGAAACAGACATCTTTAGGTCGCAAATAGCTGTCCTGCTGATGATGGTGATGGTTTACTCTAGAGCTGCAATAGAGCATACATTAAACCTTCTCATTACACACAACACTGGCAGCTTTAAGCCTGTTTGTTAGACATATAGCTAATATTAGTGTACTTGTACAAGATATATTCTATAGGTCTTTCAACATGCTTGGATTGTCTTGGATTAAACTGTGCTAACACCGGATAAATACATACTGACTCTAGAATGGAACCAATGCACTATTATGAAATCATTTCTAGCCCAATAGCTTAAGAACAGCTCATCAGCTGAATCTGTGTATAGGACGACATTACTACCACCTCAAAGAATTGCTGACAGGTACTTTACGCTCCACTTCCTCATTCACTGACACTTCAGGTCTGCCTTACTGAGGAGCATTCAAGTTGAACTTTCTGAAGCATGAATTCTCTAAACAGACTGAACATTTGAAATGTTCTCCTTAAAAGATTTGATCTAGAGTAGACCATCATCTTACCTCATACTGCTCAGCCTCGATCAGCAGTTTGGCTGTTGTTATTCTGGATTCATAAGGCAGGATGTTGCTCTAAAACAAAGAACAATACAGTAAATATTAAAGGTAAACTATTCAAGGATGATAAAAGTCTTGATGTGGGCCAAACTTCCTCCACAGCGATATGAAAGACTCATTGCCAGTTATCGCAAACACGTCATTGCAGTTGTTGCTGCAAAGCATGGCACAACCAGTTATTAGATTTTAGGGGGCAATTACTTTTTCACGTAGGGCCAGGCAGGTTTGGACAGCTTTTTTCCCTCAATAAAAGAAATCATCATTTAAAAACTGCATTTTGTATTTACTTGCATTATCTTTGTGTAATATTAAAATTAGTTTGATGATCTGAATCTTTTAAGTGTGACAAATATGCAAAAAACTAAGAAAACAGGAAGGGTGCAAAAACCTTTTCACGGCACTGTATTATTTTTTTTTTTTACTGTTTTTGACAAAAGACTCTTATGCTCTCCGAGGCTGCATTTATTTGTTCGAAAATACAGTGAAATATAAAAATAATGCTAAAAACATTAATATAATTTAAAATAAATATTTTCCTATTTTAATATTTTTAATATTTTAAAATGTAATTTATTCTTCTATTGGCAAAGCTGATTTTTAAGCAGGCATTACTCTAGTCTTCTGTGTCACATGATCCTTCAGAATTCATTACAATATGCTGATGCTCAAGAAGCATTTCTCATTATTACTGAAAACTGTTTTGTTGCTTAATGTTTAATTAATTAGCATTTATTTAATATATCAATCTTGTGTTTGTACCCATGTAAAAGTCTTTACTGTCACTTTTGATTTATTTAATGTGTCCTTGCTGAACAAAAGTATTAATTTCTGTTCTTTTAGTGTACATTGTACACATCTACTGGAGCATGTCTATGAATAAAATGATGAAACTGACTAATAGTTTGTATGTTCAGTTACATAAAGACCTTCACTCATTAAACATCAAACAAAGTATTTGAGCAGAAGAATTAAAGTTGACGTCAAAGCTATTGTCAGTAGTAATCGATGGCATGCTTTCGATAAACCTTCTCATTTTTTATTCACAACATTGCTTGAATTTCGTCATGACATTACTGCAAATAATACCATTGTTTGAGAACTACTTGAGGACAGAAGAAGCCAAATATTGTATTTTCTACTAGCAGGAAAAGGAAAAAAACATCTTTAGATGTGCATTTGACTAATTAGCCATTAAATAAATAAAAGTTCTGGTTGTGACTGATTTTTTTCAAGGTCTCAATGAACATTTCAATTATCCATCTTTACAAACACTATCTTCTCTTTCAATATATCATCACACCATCAAGGCCACTTAATCTCTTGCATTAAATGTAGCCTGTCTGTGATGTTATCAAGCTCATTTTTGTATTGTATATACTAACACAATCTCTAGTCTCTATACTGAATAAATGGTTTTTAAATCAGCTTTGTAAAAAGAGTTGATGAGAGGCATATACCTTCAAACAGGCATATACTCTCCTACCTGCCAAGACATCGCAAAGCTGCATCTACATATGACAAATTTATGTCTAGTGCCAAGCAAGTTCCCTGAAATTTTAACCAGCAGGAAAGTAAACAACTTTCATAAATTCCCTCAACAAGTCAGTTCAGGTGAGGCTTGTTTTTCTGTGGTATCTTCAGCATCGTAGAGTCCTACTTAACAGATGAACTGCGCAAATTCATTTAGGCACACGGAAATGAAAGTATGTCTTTTGAAAAAGCATGAAACGTGTAGCCTTAAGCAAAAAACAATGTTTTTAAGAGTCGCAAGACTGTCAGCGGCGAATCGTGGTCACTTGATGAGGGATCTATGCGTGTGGCCCCAGAGCCAGCCTTGCAGCAGACTGCCACAGCCTTGGCCTGGCATTGAGAAAAATTCAAAGGTAAAATAAGCTAGTTTGCTTCCTTTCTTCCCTTATCTTTCCCAGACTAAAACCTTTTTAAGCACAGTACTATTTCCTTCCATGCCATCAGAAAGAGGTCAAAGGAGAGGTCACGATGCATCCTATCTTTATTTCTCCGTTGCCTTTGGAACACAAACACCTGTGCACACACCTTATTCTGATCTTTTTCTTCCTCCATGTCATGCTCTGTGCTCGCCAATGACTCTTCCTCTTTCTGTAGGCTAGGTAACCATGACGACACTCTTCTTCAGGTACTTACGCCCCTCCTGCATAAAAACATGATAAAATAAATTTGAAAGAGCCTCTCCTCTAGGTATGATGATTGTAAAAAATACAGGTACATGCCTCTTTCAGGAAAAGGTATAGGATGAGAGGAATTAGGATGTAGAATAGAATGACAAGTAGTAGGATGGGACAACAGGAAGCTCTATAAGAAGATGGGTAGTGGTACAGGATGAGAGGAAGTGAGAGAAAGTATCATAATCGGTAGTGGCATGAGATGAAAGGAAGCAGGATAGGATGAGAGGACGTAGTAAAGGATAAGAGGAAGTAGAATATGTTGAGAGGAAGTAGGTGAGAAAAAATAAGTTAGGATAAGAGGGCGTGATACAGGGTTTAGATAAAGTAGTACTCTATATGAAGAAGAAAAGAGGTAGGAAATTGCACGGACAATAAAAAGTGGTAAAGGATGAGAGGAGGTGACAAAGTAAAACAACAGGTAGTGGTATGAGGAAGTAGAATACATTGAGAGGAAGCAGAATAGGATGAAAGGAAGTAGGTCAGGGTGAGAGAAAATGAGATGAGGAAGTGATAAAGGATGAGAGGAAGCAGTACTGTGTATAATGCAAAGAAGTACTGTAGAAAATAGCATGAGCAATAAGAAGTGGTAGACTAAGAGGAAGTAGCAAAGCATGAAAGGAAATGAAAAAGTAGGATAACAGGTAGTAGTGGTACACAAGGAAAGAAAGTAGGATTAGAGGAAGTAATATAAGACAAGAGGAAGTAATATAAAATGCAAGGAAGTAGTAAAGCATAAGAAGACACAAGAATTAGCATGAATAAGATGGAGCAGGATAAGAGAAATTGGTAAAGGACAAGAGGGAACAATATAGGATGAGAGAAAGTAACATGGGATGAGAGAAAACTGTCTAGGAACAGAGGAAATAGGATAGCATATGACCAATTAGGAAGTAGAATAGGATTACAAAAAGCAGAATAGGACAACAAGACGCTCTATAAGATGATAGGAAGTGGTGTAGGATGAAACACGTGACAGAAAGTAGGATAACAGATGGTGGTATGAGATGAAGAAGTGAAGGATAATAGGATAATGAGAGGAAGTGAATATGAATAGGATGAGAGAGAGGAAGTGGTACTGAATGAGAGGAAGTAGTAAAGCATAGCAAATAGCATGAATAGGAAGATAGACAGGATAAGAGCACGTGGTAAAGGACAAGAGGGAGAAGCATAGGATGAGAGGCAGTGACAGGATGAGATGAAAAAGTACAAGCCTGAAAAAGGGTTGAGGTTAGAGGACACAAAGAAACTCAAGTTAATGACTGTTGAGTTAAGTTTCGCTGTCAGCTCTCTGAAGGGAAATGGAAGTGTCTTCTGAAGTGAAAATACCCTTAAATGATACAAGAGCTTTAAGCTGCAGACTTAAGCTCAACTCAGAGGGTCGCTCAAGTTCAGCAGAGGTACTGGTCTTATATCTGTTTGCCCCCTAGTGGTTCAGTGAGGGACTGCATCAACGCAGGTGTGTTTGCACTAGTACTAAATCTGTCCCACATCGAGCCATATTCAATAAGCTTGTTCTATTAATGGCTTGTAATTCATTAGCTGTGACCTAACTCTCTCTCATCTGCCATCTTTATCTATCCCTCATGCAAAAACAAGCATACACGTCTTTCTTACTCACTGGTTCGCTCACACAATTTCTATCTGTGTCTCCTTCTCAGAAATACATGACTCAGCTCTCTCAGCTTCTCCACCTACACTAATTATGACTGCATAATGACCCACTGCTCAGAACGCTGCAGTGAACAAGTGAGACTTGGAATTCTGGGTAATTCACTCCGCAGTTTTCCTGTCGTACCTCAGTTTTCTCTATGCTGAACAGGTAGCTGGCCATGAGCTGGAGAGCTTCAGGGTTGTGCTCATCGTACTGTAAAGCTTTGTCGAAGGCCTCTTTGCAGCAGTCAGCAGCACTCTCCTCCATGCTGTCAAACAATAAAACAGTTATAAAGCTATTTAAAGCCCATAAAAATCAGTCAGTTATTAAACTCATTGACACCAACCATGTTTAGGTACATATTTTTCTGTAAAAAACTGTGTGCAATTTTTTTTTCCAGAACAGGATAACAGCTAATGATATATGGTAAGAAATATAGGATGAGAAGAAGCAATATAGGATAAAAGGAAGAAGGGTAGGATGAGAGGAAGTCATGCATGTTAAGAACATATAGGATAAGATAAGAGAAAGCAAGGATGAATGAGAGGGAAAAGGAAGCAGTATATAACAGGAGGAAGCAGGATGAGATAAGGAAATTGTAAGTATATATGATAAAAGGATGATAATCCAGCCAAGAATAGAGGAGGTACAAAAAATAATAGTACCAGAGAAAGTTGTATAGTAAGGTAGGACAAGGTAAAGTGGTAAAGGTTGTGAGGAAGGTATGTGTATTTGTGCAGCCCCCAAAAACTAATCAAAAGGTAATTTGAAAACTTTACCAATCTTAGATTTTACCCATTTGTCAGCAAGAAGTTTTTAATAATTTAAAAATGTTTTAAATAATTAAAAAATTTACTATGACCACTTTTTCTTTTATATATTTTAGTAAGTACAGGTCAGTATATATATATATATATATATATATATATATATATATATATACACACACACACACACACACACACACACACACACACACACATATTTCAAAGTAACATACATTGTGTAGCTTTGTCAAGGTACAATGTCTACACCCAAAAAAAAATTACAGGTTTGACCAATAACTGAACTAAACAAGAGTTTCCACAGCACCCAGGGGCATCAACACTAGTGAAGAAAATGTTATTTGTTAGCACACACTCTTTTCTGCTCTTGATTTTCCAGTTATCGCCTCCAGCAAACATAACAACAACCCCGATACACACACAACCATACAGTACATCAAGAGGATAGGCACAGAGATTAACTGTACTTTGCTAGAGGCTACTGCTGTACCTTCATAATGTACACCGATGTGTGAAATGGTATGGTGCTTACTTATTGTCAATAAACCTGACCTTTCCCTCAAGCTTTGAATTTCAATCTCAGGGTTTAAATGAAGTCATGTCGTGCCAAGATCCTCGACAATCAACACTGAGCGCATCTCCAATCCAAATCTCTTTTTCATCTCTCTCCTACCATTACTCCAATCCTGAATTCCCAACCCTCTCCCTCTTTCTATCCCTCTATCAACCAGTCTGTGATTAGATCTTTTCTGCAGGCCTCAGAGCAGATGGGCTCCAGTCTTCAGCATCCCAGGTGTGTATGTCTGTCTGTCTCTGTGTGTGTGTGTGTGTGTGTGTGTGTGCGTGTGTTTGTCATATCATCTCATCAGGTACAGAAAGCCAAAAAGGTGGAGAAATGAAAAGAGTAAGAAAGGCCAGAGCAAACAAAGATGGGCAGAAGCTGAACAAGAGTCAGCATATATCTGTGTAAAAAAAAGAAAGATATTTACCAGAGATCTGTGAAGAAGATCTCAGCGATGGAGCAGAAGGCCATAGACACGTTCTTTTTTGTGACAGCACACTTGGATGGAAATGCAGCCGCTCCAAACGCACTAGCCTATCAGGGCACAGAACCACACATGACAATGAGTTATAAATAAAAAAGTTATAATAATAATAATAATAATTCACCAAGTCATTGTTGACTCACCTTATGTTATTGTAAACCTGTCTAATGTTATTTTTAACAAAAACAAACTGTTCATCCTAGTGACCACTGGCTCTCAAACTCCAATAAGAACAAAAATCACCATAGAATCATGCACTATATTCCAACATGATAGCTGTGAGTGATAAATAGACCAAATTTAAGTCATTATTCACTGCTTGACCGAGACTCTCAAAATATAAATGCCACCTGTTCATCACACTGCTATCCTATGGCTTCATATATATACCATAAAAAATGTATAATATTTGATGGTGAAATATAATATTTAATATTTATAATAATATATAATATAATCTATACTATTTTTTAAATCTTATAATATTATCATAATTTTTTTTAATTAATTTATTATAATAATATTTTTTAACACACATGCAAGATTTTTAGTAGATATTCACAGTTAGAAATTATGATACACGCAAATTGTCAGCAGTGATTCTCCAGGGTCCTCAGGGTTGCAAAATAACAATTTTTTTTAAGTATTATTTCAATTAAAATGTTGTTATTAACAATCTTAATGGTATTATTAATATATTAATCTAACTTAATTAAAATGATTTTAAAAACATGCAAAAACATACAGAAAACATATTTATTTTATATATATTTCCCTCCCATCAAGTTTTTGTTTTGTTTTGCTTTTTTTTTTTTTACACAGTTCTTGACATTTTTAGAATCCCAAAATAAATTGTGTTTAATTCATATGTAAACATTCCTAGTTTCTGTTAATAAAAAAGAAGCCAATGAAAATTAAATTTAAAAAAAAGCTACAAATGAAAATTAGCCGGCCTTTGAATACTGTGTTGGCCAATGGTAGCCCTTCAAGACAAAAAGGTTGAGAAGTTGAGAACCACTGCCCAACAGGATTTCATTATCTGCTTATGTTTCGTTGCCCTCTAGTGCTGAAAGATTGAACTGCACACTTAACACTGAATAAATCCTGGTTCCTCTTTGTTCAAACTAATTACAACTATCCCTCAAGACAAGTCATTTAGACCACTAAGGATGTGCATCTTAGGCTGCCCCAATGCTCAGAGCATTATGCACAGCATCTGAATCCAATACACAGTAATGTATGCAACTTGAGGTTTGTGTGGTCATTGCAATTGATTACAGTTTGCTTTGATGTAAAACAATGTCTGTGACCAGCTGGTTTTCAATAGCTCTCCACCTACAGGAACAAGACACATCTGCCCTTCTGTCTTTTCCATTCACCAGTCCTGTGTAGACAGCCGCAAACGGCGCACACAGGCATACTATGAGACCAGCTCAGCATAACTAAATGCCTCCTGCTATTATGTCAGTGCTAATTCTGTGCCTTCCAGAAAGCATGACTCTGATTCAGCAGCTAACTTAGTAATCAATCCAAAGAAAGTGCTGTCCACTGGGAAAATGCACCACAATCCATTATTCATTAGCCAAAGCTCTGAGGGGTCTAAACAAAATGAAAATTCTGTTTAACATCTGGTCTCAGCTAGTTTCTCTCATTTTCAGGGTTCTGTGGAACTTTAAAATAGATACATCACATATCACATCTTCTTTTACTGTGTTAACCTGCTACAACTGTACATATACTGTGTTTTGTTAAAAATACTATGTGGTTTATTCTGGCTATAACTTACTGACTCATCTTAGTTAGTGATGGGTAAATGAAGCCTCATGAAGCACTGAGGCTTTCCTCTGACTGTTTCGGGAAAAGATTCAAAGCGTCGCGAGTGTCAAAAACAGCCATCTGGTGGTTAATAAAAAATAAAGTGGTTAATAAAAAATAAAGCAGCCAAAAGCCTGTGAAAGACGCTCCGTCGGACGAAGCAGCGACCACAAATTCCATAGATCGACTCATGTTACGTGCACAAATAAAAGCCTAACAGTGTGTGTTTGTTTGTTTGTTGAATTTCTGTCTCTGATCAAATAATTTACCCATTAAACTGTGGCATTAAATGCCAATATGAATATCAATATGATGTAATAGAACAATAATGTACACATATATGAATTGCATATGCCAAATATGATTTTTTAAATGAAATAATTTGTATTCTTCATATTACTTGTATGACTGGTTATTTAAAATGTAATTGAATAAGTCTGAATGAAAACTTGTAAAGTAAGGGGTTTCGAACATTCCGACACGCGCACGTGATTGGACAGAAAGCGAGACTTCGTTTTTCGTTGGCCACGTGATTCTCTGAAAACAATACGCGCTCAGGTGTCTTGACATTTTATCCTACCCGTCAGATTGTAGACTTTAAAAAATCCCAAACTTTTGAAAGGTAGCATATACAAATGTGTAAATAAAACAATCAAGTGAATCAAAAATGAATTTAAAATGCATGAACTGTGTATCAGCGGTGTCTTGCCTCACTGGCGTGTTTGTCCATGGTGTTAAGCATGACCTCAGTTCCTTTAAGGAAGTATTGTACAGCTTCCATGCCTGTGTGAATCTGCCCCAGGTACATGTACTTACTGTGGCCGTCCTCTGGACTGAGCTCCACAGCCTTCAGATACACCTACACCTCTGTCAAGGACCGTAACACTCAAATACAATCATTCTCTCTTCAACAAAATGCAAAACAAGGATAAGGATAAACATTCAAGTGATTTCTATATCAAAGACCATTAAACTGTGGTAGTACAGTATGTGTAAAGGATATCTGTTTAGCTTTCTCTATTTCTCCCAGCTCAGTGCAGATGTTCCCTATCATGTCCAGGATAGTCAGGTTAGTGGGTTCAATATCCAGCGCTCGCAGACAGTACAGCCTTGCCATGTCAAAGTCAAAGTTGTCTATACACTCTTCAGTCTGAGAGGAACAGAGAGTGGGTACAGTACAGTCTGAAAACAAGCACTAATATTTCATTTCTATAAAATGTGCATTATAGAAAACATATTACCTTCTCCACATAATTCAGCTACAAAATGCACATAATTCAGCTACAAAATGTGTTTATTATGAATAAGTCTAGGTTAAGCACAGGTATGACAAGTTTGACAATCCTTCTTCAATAAACTCAATGAATCAGATGACATGGATAATGTAATGTTTACATGAAACCGTTATTGTCAAAGCAAGCAAAGATGACCACCAGTGTCCAGTCTATAGCACGAAACAGGTTTAACTTATCTGGCATTTTTAAAAAATGGTGTTTTAAAGTTATTATTTTGATGAACTAACAGCCATATAACCAGATAGTTAGAAACTATAGATTCCTAAATCTGACATACCTCCATTTGGCTTAGTGCCTTTTCTTTTAGCTTTGTTTTTCTTTTTAGCTTTTGCTTGTCCGCCCATTGTTGTTAGATAAAATCTGTGAATTTATGTCACTTTTAATACAGAGAAAAATACTTCTCCAATAGAGGTGTGTTCACTTGCCAGCGTGAGAGTACTAGTGTTGGGTCGTTCTTGAACGATTCGTTCATTTTGAACGAATCTTTAATGTGACTCGGGAAGAACGAGTCGTCTCGGGGAGTGATTCGTTCAGTCGCGCATGCGCAACATCCTATAGGTTCTGTACTGGAATTAGTCAAGTAGTTCACCTGGTTCGAGTCTTCGGGTTTTTCAGAGTCGTTCGTTCATCACGTGACAGCCCCATAAGCTTACCCTATGCAGTCTGAGCCGGAAAGAGAATTGACTAGTTCATCTCTCGTGTCTTCGGGTTTGAGTCGGTCATTCATCACGTGACAGCCCCATAAGCCTAAACCCGAAGACTTGTCAGATAATGGTGCTTTTCCACTGCGTGGTACGACTCGGCACGGCTCAGTACAGCACGGCACGGTTCAACTCAGCACGGTTTGCGTTTCCACTGCAGTTCAGCACCGCTTTAGAGTGGGCGGGATTATTCACATGTTGTTATAGTTGCGCCGCCTCTACTAACACGACTCCTAAAAAAAACTTTTTCATTCCGTGTCGCCCCATCAAGCTCTCGCTGGATCCGCTCCTCTGCTATCAACGAGAGGAACGTCTGTTCTTCCGCAACAGACAACAAAACTTTTTGGTTGTTAAAAAAGGTGCGCTCGTTCAAAACAGTTGCGTTCGATCCTTCGCTGGCTGTGCTGATTTAAATCTAGCGGTTCTTTTGTGTTTGTGTCGCAAGTTCAGTGACGCAGGTAGTGACGATTCTCTTCCGGCCAATCCGTGATTAGCAGAGTTTACACGTCACGTTTTGGTAACGGTACGGTTCACTTGGAACCTCAACCGAGGTGGTACTAAAAAAAGTACCAGGTACCAGGTACTGTACCAGTGGAAAACCCCCCAAAAGTGAACCGTACCGAGCCATACCGTGCCTTACCATGCAGTGGAAAAACGCCAATAGACTAAAGACCCAGGTAAACCAGCTTTAGGTGCATATTCCACCACATACTCGAATGGAGTGTGAGGCGATGCTATCAAGGGAAATGCTAATTTTAAAAAAATAATAATAATAATAATTTACTACCTATATTTTATTATATACATTTGTTCTTTTCAGAAAATTAATAAGAGCTTTATAACCTTTATGAGAACTGTTTAACACATTCTGTAATGTCATAGAATTAATGCCGGCAGATTTGAATTCCTCTTTTAACTGTGTTCTTTCCCTTTCATATGCCCTACAGTTAATCAGCACATGCTCTACAGTTTCTGGAAGTCCACAATGATTACATTGACCAGATTCATGTCTTCCTATCATCTGGAGTGATTTATAAAAGAGTAGAGTGTCCAATTCTCAATCGAGATATAACTGTATCATCCCTTCTATTACCATAAGCAGTTCTAACATGTCCTATACTGTTTATTTATATTATACAAATGTCGCCCTTTGTTACCTTTATCCCATCTCTCTTACCATACCTTTCTGACAGCTACTTTAATTAAACCTTTAATTTCCGATTTACTCAAGGGTATATGTATGTCAATATTTGTGTGCTTAAGAGCCTGTTTCACTATCTTGTCTACCTCATTTCCTTCCACTCCAACATGAGCAGGCACCCATAAAAATTCTGCTATAATTCTCAGTTGCCGTATTCGGTGCAAACTTTGCAGTACTTCTAAAAATAATATCTTGTCTAGATTCCGATTTTCCACTCAGTATACTTGTGAGTGCAGAATATGAATCTGAACAGATTACCACTGTTGTTGGTTGGATTTCTTCCACCCACTGTAAAGCTATCTGAATAGCAATCATCTCTGCTGCATATACTGATATATTATTAGAAGTTATTTTTGCAGATTTATATTTAAAGTGAGGAATATACATGGCAGCACTTGTACGCCCAGTTTCTGGGTCTTTAGAACCATCTGTATAAATTTGTAAAAATTGAAAGTAATGACTATCTAAATGCTACTGCACTATTGTCTCTTTGGGAACATATTTCTTGTTTTCGTTTATTAAATTAGATATCTGCAAATCAACTGTTGGCATAGAAAAAAACCAAGGTGGATATACTGGCAGAGCCACCGTGGGGCTAATATCGATATTACTGATA